CTTAAGAATTAAATGAAAAAACCAACAAGCTCAGCGAGACATAAAACACACTTGATATTATAGTTGTTCCCTTTACCTCTCCGATTTTATTAATGATAAAAGGATAAAATGTAAGAGGTCTTATACAAAGACTTGACGTACCACCAGCAAAAGGCTCCCAAGCCTCAGCCTAAGGATAACTGTGCCAAGGTAATGCTACCTTTTACAACTGCTTTAATAATACTTTATATCCAGTAGGAGCTATTATAGATTGTCAACCACCATACTTTTCCACATTTGATAATCATGCTTTCCATCGTACATGCTGAAGTTGTCCATCAATTTCTAATTTCTTTGTTTGCCATCCCTCCATTTGTTTTCTTCTTTTTGTAGGAGCAGGAATCACCACTTTGTTTTATTTTTTGAAATTCAATCTTAGTTGTGGAGGGTGCAGCTAGCTCAGCTCCAAGTCCAGTCGCCATCCGGCCGCCTATCGGCAGCTTGCAGCCACTCAGCTCAAGGTGCTGTGTTCAATCTTAGTTGCGGGTGGGCACAGCCCACCATCCCATGTGGGAGTCTAACCGGCAACGTGCTCTCACCAGCTGAGCCATCCTGCCACCTGTTGGCAGCTCAGCTCGGGCACATGTGGGAATCGAACTGTGACCCTATTGCTCAAAGCTCATGCTCTCACCAAATGAGCCACTCGGCCGGACCTTGAAATACTTTTTTTTAAAGAAAATCAATTTCTGGCACCACCTTTGAAGACTTCCTGCCTTCTTTTATTATTATTTTTAATTGGGGAATTGGGGGAGGGCAACAGCCAAGTTGTTGTCCTTCAATCTTATTTGTGGAGGATGCAGCAAGCTCAGCTCCAAGTCCAGTCGCGCAGCTCAGCTCAAGGTGCTGTGTTACAATCTTAGTTGCAGGTGGGCGTAGCCACCATCCCATGCGGGAGTCGAAACAGCAGCTTCGTCGTTAAGAGCGCACACTCTAACCCCTGAGCCACCGGGGCAGCAGCTCAGCTGAAGATGCTGAGTTCATTCTTAGTTGCTGGCGGGTGTAGCCCACCATCTCGAACAGGCAACTTTGTTGTTAGGAGCACGTGCTCTCACCAGCTGAGCCATCCTGCCACCTGTTGACAGCTCAGCGGCAGCTCAGCTTGGGCGCAGCTCACTGGCCCATGTGGGAATCGAACCAGCAACCCTGTGGCTCAGAGCTCGTATTCTTGAGCAAGCTCTTAACCAACTGAGTTACTCGGCCTTCTTCAAAACTCTTCTTTCTTTCAGTCTCCCTGACACTGCTCTCCTGACTATTTCTCACCAGCGTAGCAGCTCCTATTTCATTTCCTTTGCTAGTGTCTCCTCAATCTCTAGCAGACCTTCCAACATTCTCTAGGCCTAATCCCAGACCCTATTTCCATTCTCTTATCTACCCACTCTCCTTAAGTAATTTTATTCATAACCTTAGACACTAGACACACACACACACACACACACACACACACACACACACACACACACACATACACACTCTCTCTCTCTCTCTCTTTCTATATATATATAGTATTTTTACATGTGTATATGTATATGTATGTATGTGTATACACACACACACACATTTTACACACAAATGTATGATGCCCCCCTCCCTCATAGTGCCTCTTGGACTAAGATATCTTACAGGCTACCTAAACAGAATTCTTTCTTCCCCCACTCCCCAAATCTATTCCTTCTTTAGTTTTTCCTATCTCAGGCATCAGTACCACCATCTACTCAGTTGCTCAAGTGCAACCTGGGAATCAGCTTCTCTTTCACACCCACATCCAATCCACCTACATCCAATGAATTCTGCCACCAAGCTTTATTATCTGCAACCCAGACCACAGTCATAGCTTGGGTCTCACTGCTTCCATTCTTGCCCTTGCCAACCCATTCTCTATCCAGCAGCCAGCAATGTTAAAACAAAACAGATCATGTTGCTGCCTCACACAAAATCCTTCAATCCCTTCCAACTACATTTATAGGGAAATCTTTCACTAGCCTCTTTACAGTTCTTTGGACATACCACTGCCTCGCCTCACTACCTTCACATACACTGTCCTTTTGACCTGGCATGTTGTCCTGCCCTATCATCAACTTATCCTTCAGGCTTCAGCTTCAATGTCACACTTCTTGAAAAAGACTTCCCCAATTCCTATTAAAATTAGGTCCTATTATAGCCTCACTAGAATCCTATCCTTTCCTTGCATAGCACTGGGGGGGGGGGGAGGAATTTCTAACTATATTACTTGTTCAACTCTTTGGTTAATGTATGATTAAACAGAGTTAGTATCTGATTTTCTAATCACTGCATCATCCCACAGTGCCACAGCCATGTGTCCAACACCTAAGAAACTCCTCTCACCAATAAATATTTGATAAACGGAGAACTCATGAGTGCTGGCCCTAGGATAGCTGCATAATACAGCAAGATGCACCATGGACATTTAACTACTCCCCTTCAGTTGGATTTTTAGGCAAAATACTTTATAAAGTAACAGTGCTGTGCAATGAAAGGAATTCAAGTAGAAGGATGACAATGTGGTCCTTTCCCCTAACAGTCTGGAGTGCCTGTCTTTTACTTTTGTTCTTTCATAGTTCCTAGCACCGAGTTAGATCCATGGTAGATACTGAAGCACTTAGCTACCCAACTTTACTACTACAGATCAATCAAGTGCTAGAATTAAATATTATAAAATATTATAGTTCACTGAGGGCTACAAGTATTAGGAAAGGTTTTAAGGAGACAGAAGTCAATCTAGACAGAGTGAGGAACAACTTTCGGGGATCTAGCCAACATATGCTATCACCCCTCTCTTGTCCTCCTTCCACAAGGGTATATCTCTATAGCTAGATTTGTACTCCCTAACATGAAACATTTCTTTAATCCATTTGCTAAATTCTAAACAAAAAGATCTTCAATAGGAGGTTCTATGCTGAGTTAATCTAATAAATCTTTTTTTTTTTTCTTTTGGCCATAAAGGACCGGAGTAGTACAAGATAAAAAACTACAAAGACTTCATTGTACTACCTGTTGCATAAATGAAACTCTGAACATTTTATATACATTCACCTGATAATGTAGGAATTGAGAATCTAATTGAAATCCTAGAGTTTAACCACATACTTTCTGAAGGGCCAATCAATAGAACATTGAAATAATAACTACCCTAGCCATTATTTCCCAGGCACTGAACATGTGTCTTTATGTGCTTTTTTTTTTTTTTCCCCCCTTATCTTCAAAATAACCCTGAAAGCTGAGGAAGCTGAGGCTGACAGTCTGGCTCAGTTCAACAACTATACAGCTGGCAATACAGGTGTTCTTTTTTTAGACACTGTAAACTGACCAACAATGCCAAAACAAACAAAAAAAACCCCTGAAGTTTTAGAGAACTTCCAGTGCTTTGTTGCTAGAGAATTTAAAATAAAAACTTTCCTAGGAAGCATACAAGTTCAAGGAATATAATATCCTTCAATTTAAAAAGCCTTTCTAAAACTTATGGGTAAATATAGAGTGCTTTGCTGCTAAACTACTTGGCTTTGATGAAACAAATCTGAAATGTATCTGTATAATATTTTCAGTAATAAAAGTTTTCTTGAAAAGGGAAAATTACCAGCTACAGATCTACCTTACAAAGATTGAGTTTTGAAAGGAAAAAAAATAAATCTGAGAGACACTACAGGAATATGAATAATAGAAGTGTTTTGAAAATTGTTTTTCTTCTGATATGACAAAATACCACAATGGAATAACAGGAGTAGTATTATCCAAAGCTAAATGATGTCAGGTTTTTAAACAATCAATAAGCTGTAAGAGTTGGGAACCTCTGTAATTATTTCAAACTGTATGAATGTCACATTATCAAACACTGGGACAAGTACAGTCTTGTACGAAATGACTGTATGAGTTCAAATCATCATATCCAAAATAAATTACATACTTTCTGTACTTAAACTTTTCCACATTATGATAATTTCAACCTGTATGGTACCAACTCTTTGCATTCACAAAATTCCATCAATGTAGCCATTATACACTTGTAAAGGCAGACTTTAAGTAATCTCAACTCATAAAAAAGTTAAATATTAACTAAACCTCAAAAGCATCAATGTTATCTCGAAATAATAATTTTGTACCCTAAAGAAATAAAAGTCGTATGTGGCCATAAAAAAACAGAATTACAGAAATCAATCGAATTTATAGGGATGGCTTTCTGTTCGCAGAGTATAACTACTTATGCAAGACCCTAGAAAGTCTTTCTGGACTTCCTCCACAGAAAAAAAACAATTCCCTTCTCTTTTCTCCCCCTGACTGCGGCCCCCCCCCATATTATTTTGATATAGTCCTCTCCCCAAACGTTTACATTAAAAAATGGGTTTATGCAATTATCAGGAAGAGCATGTCCCAAGATTTATGATCTTTGCATATTCAAGACTGCAGGAATTGAGCTTTACTAATTCATAGACCACAAACACATCCTGTTAAGATTTTTCCTTCAAACACTGAAGTTCCCACTCTTGGGACCCCTAATGAGTGTGTGTACATAAGCCATACAATACAATCTTTAAAAAAAGACACAGATGCTAGGTGCTCTCCATTCTCTCCCGAGAGACGTCCTCACCTAAACTCCCGCACATTCCCTTCCCGTGGCCCACAAGCATAACTGTCATTCAGAGGGATGGTAATTGTTAAGCGTGGGTGAGAAACAAAGCGTACACGCTATATAACCGGATGGGGAAGGCTGTTACTGCTGCCGCTCCTGTATCACGTAACTAGCCTAACCCGCTGCAAACTTTAAGAGATTAAGTTACATTCCTCTGCAATTCCACCCTTGACAGCTGAATCCAAAGATGCCAGCGAGTCGTGCACGTCCATTCCCGCCGCCTCACCCGTGGAGAGCCGGCAGCCACATGCCGCGCGCGGTCAGCGCGGACAGAGGTTGGGGAAGGAGGGCTGGCGACAGGGCTGCAGGGAGAGCTCACCTTTTCCAGCTCATCGTGGAGTTCCGCTAGGCTGGGCCGGAGCAACTTCTCGCCCAGCTGCGCTGCTGTGTGTCGGTAGTGGTCGATCCTGGGCACGGCGTCCATGGTGTTGTGCCCAAAGGTGCGCAGGTAGTAGGTGTTGGTGTGGGTGTCATAGTAGTAGTGCTGGTGGTGCCCGCTGCCGCCGCCGCCGCCCGAGTGCAGGCTGCTGCCCTCGCTCAGCACGGTGTCTCCGCCGTTCTGGAAGCTCACGTTGGGCCCCTCGCCTCCGACCCCCGCCGGATCCGACAGGCTGTCGTTCGCCGAGGAATCAGCCGGGTCCACGAAGTTCACACGGAAGCGGCCCTTGGCTTCCTCGCTGCCTTTGGCCGGCCCGCTTTCGCCGCTGGCTTTCCCGCCGGTGGGGGTCTCCTTGCTCCCGGACGCTGCCGCCGCCGCCGCCGCCGCGGCAGCCCGCCCAGCGTTCTCAGAAACCAGGTCCACCTGGAAGCGGCTCTGGCTCGGTGTGGGCCCCAGGGGTCTGCCCAGCCCGTCCCCGGCCGCCGCGGAGCCCTCATTGCGGACCCCGCCGCCGCCCAGGCTAGCGGCCGCAGCATCCTCCGACATCGAGGGCACAGCCGTGCCGGGCAGGTCCACCCCGGAGTCAGCCAGCGCAGCGGCTGGCGGCGTCTCCCCGACCCCGGCCAGCCTCCGGGCGCCGGAGGAGGGCGCCGTAGGCCTCGGCTCCATCGCTGCCCGACCCCCGGAGGACCCGTAGAGCCTGGCGGACGTCGCGGGCTGCACGCCTTCCGCGCCCCTGGCCGGCGGTGGCCGCGGCCGCAACGTCAGATGAGGGAGTCGCTCTCGCCGCCGCCCGCTCTCCGCCGCTAGCCCCGCCGGGCCGGCACGAACAGCGCTGGCAGCCGAGTCAGCGCGCGAGTGCAGCGAGCGCGGGGCGGGCCCCGCTGTTTAAAGCCTCGCCGGGGCCGCGGCGGTGGCGGCTCCCGCTGCAGCACGCGGGAGGCGGGGCCCGCGGCTCCTCCGCCCCTCAGCCCGCCCACCCGTGGTCCTGCAGTGGTGCTCGGCGGCCGGCCCCTGGGCGCCCCAGCCCTCCTGAGGTCCTGCGCGGCCCCACGCGAGAGGTCCGCGCCGGGCCTCCGGCAGCACGAGCACAGCGACCGGGTAGCGGGCGCGGCCTCCTGACCGCGGTCGCCGGGAAGATATCGGCGCCGCTACCTCCCCTTCCGTTGCTCTCCTCCCATCCCCCCCACCTTCTTCCCCCGCCCGGCTCTGCGGTGATGAGGAGCAGGCCCCCCGGCCGCCTCCCTCTCTCCCCGCCCCTGGGGCTGCGCGTCTACGGGCCGGCAGCCCAGGCCACTGCAGCCCAGGATGCGGGCGGCTCTCGGCGCGGCCGGCGAAGGGACGCGCTGGCCCTGCTTTGGGCCACGCCGACTGCTGATGCTCCAGCGGTCGCTACCACCACGGCTGCGGTCTAGGGCTCTGCCCTCTGGCTTTTTTTTTTTTTTTAAGTTCTGAACTCGCAGTACTTGGGCTGAGCCGGCGAGATCTCGCGAGATGCTGCAGGGCTACAGGGCCGCTTCCCCTCGGGCGCGCGGTACCCGCGGCGGTGCTGGAGTCGCCTGCTGCCCCAGGCTCCTCCGGGTGGTGCCGGGCGCTTTCCTGTCCCGCGCGCAGGTGCTTCCGGAGTTGCGGGGCGAGGTGCGCCCCTCGGCGAGGCCTGCTCGGAGCTCCTTCCCGCCGCGACTCCCCGCATTCACATCAGGCCTGAGCCTAAGGGAAAGCAGGATTTCCTCTGTGCCGCCTTTGAGGCGGTAAACTCACCCGCCTGGCAGCGTTAGATTTGCATATTTAGAGACCAATTCCAGTCATGATGCAGTGGGTGTGTCCAAACTTCCGATGACACCTTTATTTTAAAAGCTGTGATGTTTGACGGTGAGAAGGGAGGTTAGTTGTGGTACCTTATTGTTTCAAGACGTAACGAGGCATTTCCAAAAATGATAGGATGCGTAGAGATGGATATAATGAGAGCAGTAACTAACTGGGAAGTTTCAGCATGGTTTAAGTTGTGAAGAATTATTCCTCCGTTTTAATAAAAACAAAAAGGTACTCCTCTGCGGGTCCATCTTCACTTTTGTAAAATATACAGGAAAATAATTATTTTGCAACTTAAGAAAGTTGCAGCAGAACCCATTTTTAACCTAAATTCTACCCACGGCCCTACTTAAAAACATAACAATGAATTGCTTCTTTGATCACTTGGTTTTTATTTATGTATTTTTAAATTTTATTTATGGGGATAAACATCTTTGCTTAACCCTAGAAGTATGATCAAACAGCTGCAGAGTTTGCCAAACTGTTTTGAAATACAGTACTATAAAAAAAGCTGCAATCAGGTAGTTTTGAAAAAAATTGTCATAACCATGATCTTTTTTGACCACAGTTTTTCATCACAGTTTGTTATCTCTATTGTAAAAATGGAGAGAGGAAGGAACCGCTCTTGGATCATGTAGCCAGTTTTTAAATCCCCTCTTGAGCTTTCGTGATATTAGCAGAAAACCAGAAGAGGCCAGAAAAATCAAGTGGCCCTTTAAGCTGTGCTGTTTCTACTAGGGGATTGCAGCCTTAGTAGCTGACCTGTGTGTGCTGCCTCTTAGCTCCAAAACTAATTAGGTGGCTGTTGGAATTCAACATCCATTGAACTGAAAAAAATGGTAAGCACCTACTGTGAGGTGCTCTGAGTCCTGGGGATCTGGCAGTGAGCAAAACAGACAAGCCCAAAGGTAAGAGCATGTCTGACATGTTCCTGGAATTGCATGTAGGCCAGTGTGATTGAAGCTGCTTAAGGGGTAGGGAAAATCAAAGGTGATTAGGTCAGAGAGTTCAGAGGTTGGGGGCATGACAGACCAAAATGTGGAGGACTTCTTAGGCTATTAGAAGGTCTTTGACTTTTACTCTGAGTGGAATGGTGTATTAGTCAACTTGGGCTACCATAACAAAATACCATAGACTTGGTGACTTAAACAACAGACATTTCTTTTTCTACGGTTCTAGATGCTGGAAAGCTCAGGTGCCAGCATGGTCAGATTCTGGTGAAGGGTTCTCTGCTGGTCTTGCAGACCACCACCTTCTCATTGTGTCTTCACATGGTGAAGAGAGAACTCTAGTGTCTCCTTTTAAGAACACTAGTTTTAGATTAGACCTCCACCCTTGTGACCTCATTTAATCTTAATCACTTTAAAGCTACCACCTCCAATACAGCCACATAGGTTAGGGCTACAACATATGGATTGGGGAATGGGGGACACCATTCAGTCCCCAGCAGATGGCAAGTTATTGAGGGTCAGAGTAGAGGAATGACATGATTTGATGTATATTTAAACGATCAGTCTAGCTGCCTTGTTGTAAATATACTTGGGGTAAAAGGTAGAGACAAAATGAGAAGGAAGGAAATGTGTTAAGAGGTAACACAAAAATTCAGGAAGTGATGATGTGGCTTTGACCACGATGGGTAGCAGTGGAAATGGTGGGAAAGTGGTTGAATTCTGAAGAGGCAATAGAAGTTGCTGATGGCTAATGGAGTATGAAAGAGAATCCAAGAGTTTGGGCCTGAGCAAGTGGCATAAGGGTGTATTATTTTCTTAGATGAAGGAGCAGCCTTGGATGGGAGGAATTATCAGGAGCTCAGTCTGAGATGTCTTTTGGAGGAAACATGTATAGTAATAATAAAAGTTGCGTTCATATACATATGTGCAAAATGAGAAGTTCTGGGACAGAGAGGAACATGGTATAATGAGAATGCAAAATAGAGAGACCAGACTTAGGGAGGAACTGACTTTTCAGCTGAAGGCCAAAGGATAATTAGATTAAACTATAACTTGCAGAGGGGTTTCAAAAAAGGGAAATATTGTGGGCAAAAGCCCTCATGGAGTGAACATGAACTGTCTAAGGAGCCTGAAGCCAATTTGGTTAAAGCATAGTGATTTAGGAGCAACAGTGATAAAATGATCTCGTCTATTTAAAAGCCATATAAAACCATTAATGGGTTTCTAGGAAGATATGAATATGATCAGATTTACATTTATTGAAAGTCTCTTCAGTTATTTTGTGGGGAGAAGATTGGAGAGGAGCAAGAGTAAGCATGGAAAGACAGGATACAATTTCAGTAATTTAGGCATAAGATGATAGTAATATTATAGTAGCCAACATTTATAGGGAATTTATGTCCTTGGTATTATGCTAAACTCTACATCAGTAATCTTATTTTGTTCTTACAACAACATTGTGAAGAAAATCATAGTATTTCCCCGATTTGCAGATGTAACACTTGCTTAAAAATATGTTGAGTATGTTGTCTGAGGTCACTCAGCCAAAACCAAGTTATCCAGGGTGATTTCTCCACTACTCAAGCTATAGGAGTTTGGATTATAGAGGCTGCAGAGGAGATAAGGCAGGAGAAAAATATTTTTCTAAGATTTTTATTAAAATATAGCTAACATACAGTATTGTATTAGTTTCAGGTGTACATCATAGTTATTCCACAGTACCCACCTGGCACTCTACATAGTTATTACCACATTATTGATTATATTCCCTATGCTAAAGAAGTGATCATCATAATAAGTCGAGCAACCATCTGACACTGTATCACCCTGTCACAATATCACTATATTCCCTATTCTGTATATTACATTCTTATGACTTATTTGTTTTATACCTGGAACTTTGAACCTCTCATTTCCCCTTTATGTTTTCCCTCCTTTTTCAATTTTTCAATTATAGTTGACATTCAATATTATTTTATATTAATTTCAGGTGTACAGCATAGAGGTGTTAGACATTTATATAATTTATGAAATGAACCCCCTGACTAGTACCCACCTGGCACTATACATAGTTATTACCATATTATTGATTATATTCCCTATGTTTACATCCACATGACTATTTTATAACTACCAATTTGTGCTTCTTAATCCCTTCACCTTTTTCTCCCTGCCCCAACCTCCTCCCATCTATCACCCCAATAGATCTAGTACCCATCTGACACCATACATGGTTACTACAATATTACTGACTGTATTCCTTTTCTATACCTACATCCCCATAACAGCTGTGTAACAACTAATTTGTACTTCTTAATCCCTTCCCCTTCTTCACCCACTTATAACACCCCTTCCATCTGACACCCCTCAGAATGTTCTCTCTGTCTTTGAGTTTGTTTCTGGTTCATTTGTTTGTTTATTTTATTCTTTAGATTCCACTTATAAGTGAAATCATATGACATTTGTCTTTCACTGTGTGACTTACTACACTCAGCACAATACCTTCTAGGTCCATCCATGTTGTCACAGATGGTAAGATTTCTTTTTTTTTTTATGGCTGAGTAATAGTCCCTTGTATAAATGTACCACCTCTTCTGTATCCAGTCATCCATTCAGGGACACCCAGGTTGCCTTCATATCTTGACCATTGTGAACAATGCTGCAATAAACATATGGATGAGCATATCCCCTCAAAGTACCATTTTGGGTTTTTTCGGATAAACACCCAGAAGTGGGATTACTCGGTCCTTCTTTGTCTCTTGTTTTAGCCTTTGTTTTAAAGTCTATTTTGTCTGGTATAAGTATTGCTACCCCAGCTTTTTGTTTGTTTGTTTCCATTTTCATGAAATATCTTTTTCCATGCCTTTAATTTCAGTCTCTGTGTGTCTTTCAATCTAAAGTGAGTCTCTTGTAGGCAGCATATGTAAGGGTCTTGTTTTCTTATCCATTCAGCCCCCTATCTTTTGAGTGGATCATTTAATCCATTTACATTGAAAGTAATTGTTGATGGGTATTGCAGTTATTGGCATTTTGTTATTCATATATATATATATATATATATATATATATATATATTTTTTTTTTTCATCTTAAAGAAGTCCCTCTAAGATTCCTTGTAATACTGGTTTGGTGGTGATGAACTCCTTTAGCTTTTTCATGTCTGGGAAGCTCTTTATCTGTCCTTTGATTCTAAATGATAGCTTTGCTGGGTAGAGTAATCTTGGTTGTAAGTTCTTGCTTTTCATCACTGAAAATTTCCTGCCTATCCCTTTTGGTGTGCAAAGTTTTTGTTGAGAAATAAGCTGATAATTTTATGGGAGCTCCCTTGTATGTAACCTAGCTGTTTTTCTCTTGCTGCTTTTA